TTTCGATTGGATTCCCTAAGCAACTGGGGCGTGAACTTGCCATTGGTTCTAGACAGCAAAATAGTTTGATTGACACAGGTATTTATTTAGTAAGGTTTTATTATAATAGTATGGTTTGTGTCAAAACTTTTCAGTAAAGAGACATTAATAGTGTGTTAAGTATCAAGCGGACTAAACGGGAGGTTTTGGCATGAGATTCATTAAAAGCGTGTGGTTTACGGTAATTAGCAATTTACGGGTAAAAGTAGAAACAGATATATAAACGTTACTTTATATACTAACGGCCAAGCTGTACATAATATTCATTATGCACTTGCATTATGCACGCGACAGAACAAGCGCCTGCGCATTTGTCTACGGTGCAACACAAGGCGGTATGAAATGCCATGCAACACACTTAAATACGTCAAAATAAGCGCTGCTGGTGCTCGTATCGGAGGGGCACGATATGAACCGAAGGGTCACATGGGCCGGCGCGCAGTATTTCGATGATCTATATACAGTAGAATCCGTTTAGTATGACTCCGCTTATATTGACCAACCGGTTATTATGACGTAACTACACTACGAAGTTTGGTTTTCATATAAAATTCTTTTTAAAAAAGTCGGATATAATGACTTCGCTTACAGTGACATGTCGCTTATTATGACCCATTTTTAACAGATTATGTCCGGTTATATTGACCAACATGATTCTTTACACCTCCGGTAATGTTCGTTGATACCCGACGACGTTCGACACGTGGCGAACTTTTTATATTTATTGCTACATTTCTTTTATGATTGTCAAATTACTTTTATGTATTTACTATCGGAAAGACCAAATGCTTAAATAATAAATATAAGCATTCGGGCAGCAGTACCTTGTCCACGACTTAATCCGTATTTTCCAAATTAACCTTCTGGTCTGTTTTTCACCCTCATAAACCAATTAAATCTTAACCAATCCTGTTCTAGCAGACCATATAACATGACCGATTTTCACAACTTTGAAATCTAAGAACAGTTCCTACTTATCTTCTCACAACTCGTCACGCTGCCGGAGGTGAATTTATTGTTTGTGTTTAACTATTTGTGTCTTGTGTTTCTTGTGTTTGATACTATGCACAGCAATATTGCAAATGATAATTTGACCATAGCTATGTCCTCTATTCATAATAGTATTAGAGACTGTTTTTACAATAAAATAAAAAAACAAAAGCAGACAAAAATGACAGATTATTTAAAACAGTAAAAAATACTCTTGTATGTGTAATTATGTGCAATTTTGATTTTAATTTAATATATATGTATACATTTATATACATTTGTAATTACTATGTTTATATATTAAAGTACTTAGGAACATATTTACGTAAAAAAAGGTTTTTATTTCACAAAACGGTTTGTATGACGTCCGCTTATTATGACGTGTTTGTCAGTTCCCTTCGATGTCATTATAACCGGACTCTACTGTATATATATATAAAAATGAAATGCTGTTCGTTAGTCTCGCTAAAACTCCAGAACGGCTGAACGGATTTATCTCATCTTGATCTTGAATTATTCGTGGAGGTCTAGAGAAGGTTTAAAAGGTGAGAAAAATTCGAATAATTGCCGGGAAAATCCTCAAAACTGCTCTTTTCTATAGAATACAATTTGACATTGAGATTCAATCATAGTTATAGTTAAATAGTTGAATTCGAGATGGCGCGCTGAAGTGCATTATTGACAAAACTTTATATAATTAATTTCTTTAAATTAAAATTGCTAATCTTATTGATAGAATTGACTCTTACTAGGAGTATGTCTAGAACAAGAGAGTAAACACGAATTACATTTTTATTAAACACTGCCGGAACGAAGTCGCGGGCAACAGCTAGTTTAAAATACAAAAGTTGAAATACAAAAACCGTAACGTGGAACTAGAGTGGAAGTAGAAAAAATAGCGTAAGCATCTCGTGGCTAAACGTTGATAAATCCCTCGTTTAGCCACTTGTTACTTAATATACCATTTTGTGACGCTAGTGCTATCATATGAATTAAATATGACAATTAATCATAATAGGTTTAATACTTGGTACGGAATTGAACATTTTGGCGGAATATGCAAAATTGTATAATTTCACCATAATACTACATGGAAGTAATATAACCCATGCAATATTAGGTGCAAATTGGAATGCAACTCCAGGCTCATTCATAGATTTATTACTGAAAGATGAGATTGATATTGTCATAGGTAATATATGCTACAGAGTATTTCTTAATCCCACTAAAAATCCAACTAAATTCATATATTTCAGGTTATTATGTCTTAAATACCCGAACTATCCAATATTTTGATATGAGTCGTGTAACTCAATTTAAAGGAAGATTCATGGTACCGAAACCACAAAACTATTTCGATCTACTATATGCACTCAATATTAGAAATGTCCACCATTGGTTACTTATATTTTCATCCTATTTTATTTTAGGTTCATTGATATATTTCAGGAACTATTTGTTAGTTTTATTACATCGATTAATACATTCTTATTTATAACAATATTGCAGATTTAGACTGTACTCTCGCTTTGATATCTTAAAACTATATGGTGTGACGTTTAATCAAAGTATAAACAGTCATCAAATCCCTGTGGATAATTTTACACGTGTGATGTATGCATTTATTTTGTTATTTGGGATTATATTTACGACCATTTACAACTCGGCCGCCTCCAGCAATTTGTCAGCTCCAAAGTATGAAATATTTTCATAGTTGCAGCTCAATTAACACTGATTCTTAAATGATTCTAGATATATCGGAGAAATAAAAACAATTGGTGATATTGTCAAAGCCGATTTGCCATGGTCATCATCTGAAAAAGCTTATAAACGCATGCTTACGAATAGTCAAGTACAACTAATTTTTAAATTCACTATAAATTATTTGTTTATATTTAATTAAATATTTTAGCAATTGCAGCTGATGAAGCTATATATAGATTATTCACCTGGTCTATTGCAATATTTAACTGAAAATGGAACACCGTATGCATTTGTATTCACTCAGCTTCAATCTGGTAATATATATGCACATAAATTATAATACAGTGGAATCCCGTTAATCCGGACACCCCTTGTAATCCGACATGGTCACATGCCATGTGTTTGTACTTTAGGATTTGTAATTTGTCGGATTACAAGGTACTTTTTTGTAAAAAATTCAGGGGTCTTAGGCAGTCCTCTATAATTCGACAAATTCGTTCATCCGACACTGCCCTGCAAAGTGATTGTCGGATTACCGAGGTTCCACTATACTTTGATCATATTTATTAGATAAACGCCGTTTTAGGATATATAGAAAGTGGTGAGGGGAATAACTTTGATTGGGAGCATTTTCGTTTAATGGAGCAGGAACCTTTAACAGATAATAGCCACGTGGTACTACGAAAAAACTCAGTACTTAAGGATTCCTTAGATATCATGATTAGGCGTTGCTCGGAAGCCGGATTAATTGTAAAATGGGAAGAAAATGTAAACAATTCTTGCTAGTTATTACAAAAAATAATACATGATCATTAATATGAATCCGTTATAGGAATTTTTAAACGAAAATTCATTACTGCAACAGTACAAAATACTTGACAAGAAAGTAATTAAGGCATGGAAACCAGCGAGTTTAAACCAAATGAATAGTTTGTTTACTTTATGGGCGGTAGGCATTTTGTTGTCTATTGTGGTGTTTTTCATAGAAGTTTTATTTAAAAATCAAATTAACCGCATTTTAAATTGGTAAATTTAACAAATATGGAGAAATTAATGATTTATAGATTGTTGTACGAGTATTGTGCAATATTATTCATCAGGAATTTCATATCAGCTATTAGTGTGTATCTAATAGCTAACAAACAAGTAATTTAATGTGAGGTCTGGTATAATACTTTTCAAAGCACAAATTCATTAACTTATTAGCAATGGTACTGTTCACCGTAGATTATTTTTTGGTTTTGATTGGTTTGCAAACATTGTTCTCACATGCCAAGTTGTAGCCGCACTCGTGAAAAAGTACTCCTTGAAAGTTGCATGGTTTATTTTCGCCTGAAAATAATTTTACTCATATTAATATTAATAGTAATCAAACATTAATTAATTAATAATTTAGTATAGATATATCGAGTGTAACTAAAAATTAATAAACTCAGTGTTATTTACCAACGATGAAAACACAAGTGTCGCAACATGAACATTTTCCCAGACGCTTTACAATTCCGCCATTTTGAGTGCAATCGGCTGGGATAGGTGTACACTCAAAAACACAAGCAATACCACAAACGACTGGAACTCTAGCGTTGACTGGTTTTGCTGATTGCAGCAATAGAATCAAAGAACAGGCAAAAATTGTACTTGCAATCAACGAGAACTTCATTCTGTTTTTGCTGAATGAATTTTAAAATGATTTTTTCAAAAAATAAGATTTTATTCTGTTTCTTGAGCTTATGCTACTTGTAAATATTATAATAGGTACACAATGGGGAAAGCAACTAATTTATACCATTTTAACGTGGTAGTTTCTTTGTGTCGATTGAGGTTAGATACACTTTCTGTCACTACATTAAGTAATCATATAAGATATGTGTACTTGTATGTGTATTCATAAATTAACTTTTTAAGTTCATGATAATATATTCTTATGATGTTATGGTGTTACATTGGTGATAACAATGTTTTTCTTCTTCCTCCTTTATAGCGCCGGTTTTCCCCCGGTTTTAAAACACAAAAACAAGTACTTTAAACACGTATGGACAAGATCGTGACTAAAGTACTTTAGTCATAGATTTTAGTCACGGGGTTAGCACCTCGTTGTTACACGTTGTTAAACACTAGATTGATTAAACACTCACAATGCTTCTTCTCAATTAATCATGTGACAAAAACTCTCGTTTAGCCACTTGGCACTTAATATACCAATTAATATATTGATTGGTTTTTAGAAAATTTTAAATAAAAATTGTGAAAATATAAAATAAACAAAATTTAGCTCATTATATACTTTATTCTATTATTATATTTTGCTGCTTGTATAACAAAGTAGCTGATAACATGATTTATTGAATCAATCGCTGCAAGATGAATCGTCGTCTGATTTAGCTACACAATAACCACCTGTTTCCGGTGATTTGGTACATCTTAAGTTGCATCCACATTTTTGCCATGAACTGATGGTAGAATTAAATCCACAGAAACAATTCAAACCTAAACAATAAATAAATATACAACTAGTATTTAGATACCTAGTAATCTAAATAAACTGAAACCTTACCAACTGTATACACGCATGCGTCACAACATGCGCATTCTGGGTATTTTTGTACAGCGCCGCCATTTCTCGTACAATCCGCCGGAAGCAATGGACACGAATATCGTCCTGTACAATCTGTGGTACATGTTTTACTTTGTACGGTAAACAATGTACCTAATAAACATAGACAAGATAAAATTATGGAAAATTTTATCATTTTTGACAAAATCAAATTTAATTTAATTTAATTAATTGAACTTAATTCTAGAATTTGTGTTTCTGGTAGAAATGTGATAAATGATAAATTTTAAAGAAAAGAAGCGTATTTATTACTGGTATTGCGTCATTTGTTATTGCAATTAATAATTTAAATATTATACCAGGCAGAATATGACAAATATTACAAAATCATGGAAATACTTCTTTGTTTGATTGTGTGTACCTACTCACTAGGTATACATGTACACGTATTACGATAAGATTTTACACAATTTATTACAACTTACACATGATTAAATATTAAATTGATATGAAATGGATTAAATTTATTAATTGGTGTTTTTTATACTGGGTCTCCATGTTTTGCACTACTCTTACTTCTTTGAACTTGTTATTAAACAGTCAATCGTGCAACAATACACGCAAGATTGTGAATTTGTAGTTCACATGTTAGGTTATGTAGGTTAGAAAATTTCAAGGAAGTCGCAGGAAATTATCCTGGTAGCGTGGCCGAGCGGTCTAAGGCGCTGGTTTAAGGCACCAGTCTCCTCGGAGGCGTGGGTTCGAATCCCACCGCTGCCATAACGTTTTAATCAAATCTAATTTTATTGTAATGAACGACATTGTTTATGTTTGATTGGCATGTCATAGTTACTACCTAAAGAATATACTGGCGCGAACATGGTAATTAACTAGAAAACAACACACCTTCTTACAGTTTGTACCTGTTTTTTTCTTTGATAAACAAGTTGTATTTTATTATTTAGATAGCGCAAAAAACGTCTTCTCCGTGACAATGTTTACACATTGCCGTGACCAGGATTCGAACCTGGGTTACTACGGCCACAACGTAGGGTCCTAACCACTAGACGATCACGGCTACAGAAGACTTGTTTAAGCGGTGTTTTTCTTTAAAACAGCAATTAATTTACTTTCATATTATATGCTGTAGTTTACAAATTAATATACATAATGTTAGTGTTTGTGTGTGTTACTGCATCACTGCTCTAATAAGACACGGTTGGCAGCAATTTAATGCAGGTGGCAAGACAAACAAACTGTGGGTCTAAAAACAACAATTAAGAAATATCTTACAAATGCCATTTGTTTGTTATCATTTATTTGATAATTCAGAAATTAAATTTTAATTGGGAGGTAATAAACAACTATTTTGGTAAAATGTAATAAAATATTTGCGTAATTAATTTGAAAAAAAAATTAGATTATTTGTCAGATGAATCACCGTCAGGAGAATCGTCATCATATTTTGCACGACAATAACCACCTGTTTCTGGTGGTTCGGTGCATTTCAAATTACAACCACATTTTTGCCACGAACGAATTGTTGAATTGAAACCACAGAAACTATTCAACCCTAAAATATATTTATCACATATATTAAACAAACAAAAAATTATAACCAATGATATTGTTAAATATTACTTACCAACAGTATAAACACATGAATTACAACAAGCGCTCTCAGGATACCTCTGCAAAGACCCACCGGTTTGCGTGCAATTACCCGGAATAAACGGACACGAAAATATTCCCGTACAATCGATTGTGCATTTCTTACTTTGAGCGATCATTACTACTGCACATAGTACGCATAGCCAAAATAGGCATACGGAGAGTTTAGTCATTTTTAAGAAAGGAAACAGGACAATGTCCGTTTGACAATTTACATCATACACTTAAAGAAATATTGCATTTCTCGAGTTCATAATAAGTTTATATACTCGTACCTACTTGTAATACTTTCAGGTGCGTCATATGTTTTTACTATTTTTATTATTTTTATTATTATTATTATAGAAGGTGTAATTAAGCAAATATTGCAAATCCGTGGATACGTGATATTCTGTTTAATTATAATTACAAGCAGGAGCGCTATTGTATCGTATAATAATACATACGGGCATGTTTTACTCGTTTGTTACGATAAGAAGTGTCACAAGATATTACAATACCAGTTGTGCACTGATTAAATACGAGTACGTTTTATGTATTTCTGAACAAAAATAAATAAATATTGTCACTGTAGTGACATCTCGGTTTAAATAATATCACTATAACAATAGTCGAATTGCCATATCAACTTCTTCTTCTTATCTACAACCTTTTAGATATGTTTTTGCGGCAAAAAGTTGTTTATTTGCTGTTGGTTTTTTGTGTGAGTGTGTCACAAACAAACAATGAATTCAAATCGATCAAATAAAATATTAATTTAACAGTTATATTACAACATTACATCTGATTAAAAATTTTTAAAATTTTAATAAAATTTATAATGATTTATCCATGATGGAATAAATGGTCCCACCAACTGCGACCTTCGTCGTCATCATTTTCGTCTTCATCGTCATCGTCATCATCATCGTCATCATCGTCATCATCATCATCATCGTCGTCATCGTCGTCATCATCATCGTCATCGTCGTCATCATCGTCATCGTCATCGTCTCTATCTTCGTCATCCCCGTCATCATCCCCATGTTCATGAAACTGATCATGATCATGATAATCATCGTCTTCTCCATCATGCTCATCATCATGTTCATCTACTTCATTGTCTTCATCGTCATCCCCATCTCTATCATCCCAATCATCATCGCCATGTTCACCCTCATCTTCGTCTTCGTCCCCATCACCAAAACCTATAAATTTTTAAATAAAATATTTCAATCCATAACGTTTTTTAATCGTGTTTGTATTGTAGTATTTATATTTACCACGATAATGTGAACAGCATTCACAAACTCCTTCAGCAATGACTCTACGACCACAAGGACGTTCGGTCACTCCTGTTAAGAATCCTAATCGCTCACACACTTCGTCACATTGATCTTCATCACTTTCATCACAATCGCGCTGTGGTTTACATTGCACACAAATTAATCCAATTAAAAATATTGATAAAATAAAAATATTATTTCCCATTATAAATATTTCCAAATATTTTAAACTTATGTTACTTTATGTTCTATAGTTCAATTTTGTGTGTGAATAATTCAAACCATTGCATTCATTTATACCCAGAATTTCATTGTCACTTTCTGGGCTTAACGAACGTATAAAGTAATCAAAATATTATCAAATATTTATTATCATTAAACCTTCAGAACATAGAAAACTACTTTTATTTTTTATCAATTTGCATTGAAACAAAGTATAAACACTTTTTTTTTACAAAATTATCAAATCCAGCTTATAGCATGGAATTACAAGGTGTACTAGTTTCAAGTAACAGTATTATAATTGATTAATTCAAGTAAAACGGCTAAAATTGTATTATCTACGCTCGTAAATAATTTTCTACTTTCTCGTTGACATGCAGGCGCAATTTCGTCAACAAATCAAGTATTTTCCTTTGATTAAAGTTTCATTATTTACAATTTTCATGCACATAATTGATTTTCATGTAATTTAACTTAAAAATACTTAATTGCACTTTTGTTGTTTAAGTTGCCTATGTTAAACCAAACATTTCAAATGAAAAATCAATATTTTCTTCAATTTTGTCTTAAAAATGAACAAATACTAACTTCCGAATGTTATAAAATATCGCATCAATTAAATAAACCTATAATTATTACTGTTGTTTGCAAAACACCATCACATGACCATCAGAAATACTTAATTTAATGTGTATTCTCAGTGATAACATTATTAATGTGTTGATAATCATGTTAATCCAGACAAATGTATGTCACGTGTTGTAGCATGTGGTTCAGTTGAAGTGCATATTGATACAACACTCCATAACAATTCGCGTGATTAGTTTATTTATGCTTATCTTTAGTGGGAGTTATAGGAGCACTGAAAACATTAAACAGTTGTCGCTGTGCAGTCGATTTCGTCGAATTGATAGAATAGAAGTAAAACTAGAAGCCTGCAGTGTTTAAAGTGTTTGAAAAACGAGCAGTATTGAGAGTGTATAGACAGTAAAATAATTGTGAAAGTGTTGGGTGTATAAAGTTGCGCTGTGTGTATATGTGTGGGGCTGTGCGCTGGCACGCATCTTCGATTTTATTACACCGGTTTACGATTTATATGCGCCGCGTTTTTACTCATTTTTTTACGAGACCCTCTTCGCCGTCTGAACGCTCCGAACGCTTCGCAACTCACCCGAGAGCCTGGTGCACTTTCAGCGTCGTCTAGTGCTGTAAAACGGGCCGTAACCGCCGTAACAATCCGTTAGGTTAGTTATTCTTCGCCCATCTTTTACCTCTTCACTCCATTCCGAAACAAAATTACACTTTAAACGCATTTTAACGCGCTTACAAGCATTTATTTGCTAGAAAGCCGGCGTGGGTGATACTCGTTCAAGTTTAAATTTTGTGTTGATCGTTCCAAACATCAATAAAGTGCGATTCGTTTCTGTTTTTGTTTAGTGCTGAAACAATTGAAAGAGTGCAGAAGACTGACTAAATTACAATGCCACATCAACATCACGTCGCCGGTTATGAAAACTTCCTGCAAAAGATGAAAGAGTTTCAGGGCAACCAGGAGGTGTACGTTTACTACGGCGGTTCGAAAGATGCGAACGGCTTGAGCTGGTGTGACGATTGCGTTAAAGGTATATAGATACATAAATTAAAAAGAACATAAAAAGTGCTCTTAAAAACACTCATAAAGTAGGGTTACCTCTATTAAACAGCGTATTCATCGTAAAAAGCAAATTCAGTATCACTAGAGACATCTACAGTTGCAAAACTGAACTAACTTTAGTAAACCACAAAACATAAATTGGTTTATCTTTAATTTTGCTCTGTTTTTAGCTTGGCCGAATATAAAATCAGCAGTGGAGAAGTACCTTAATCCCAATGCGCATTTCGTGTACGTGGAAGTAGGCGACAGGCCGACCTGGAAGGATATGAACTGCCCATTCCGGCTAGATAAGAACACGCGCTTGTTACAGTTGCCTACACTTGCTAAATGGTTGGGACCCGAGCGTTTAGAGGGCGAACAATGCGAAAAGTTCGAGTTATTGGAGCTGCTTTTTGGTGATGAATAATAAACGCAGAGAGACCAAACAAATAAGTTGTCATTGATATAATATGACAGCCAAAATAAACTAAATCAAAACTTGTTGATTCAAAACATATGAAATGCAAACGTTTTAATAACACTTTATAAACAATTAAGCCTAGATATAAATTAAAATAATGAATACAAACGCTGAAAAATACAGAATTATGTGAAATTTTACAATTTTATATGCTTTTTTACTAATTGTTGCCAATATTTCATCATTATTTAAACGTAAACACGCCTAAATATAAAAAATAATGTATTTTCTTATTTATGCTTCCACATCCGCCATTTTCTGTTTGTTAAGTGTAATCTTTGAGCAAAACGTACAATAACCAACCTTATCCTGGTGTAATATTATTGTTTACCTCTAAATTTATTATTTTACCTTATAGATTGCTGATTGGATAATCTATTTAATGTAAATAGTTTATTTTAATGTAAATTCTGTTGATAATTATTCTTCGTTCGCTGGTAACACACTCATATCCAGTTTGGTGATTGGTTCTGTCATGTAGACGGAATATTTGATCTTCTTGTTCTTGAACATACTGTATGTGTTATCGAACGTCACCGTATCTGAAAGCAAAAATGTTTGATCGATATTTTCAACAGAAAAATGAAGTTTGAAGCTGAAAAAGTGAGTTTTTTGTACGTACAAGTGTAATTTGGTTTGCATTGCAACGCGCCTGATTCTTCTACTTGATGTGAAGGCACACGCATTGCTTTGATCACCTGGTGAACGTGTCCGGTGGCGTCGTCCTTGCAGGTGACGCCGAATTTGATGTCGTGGTCTTCGGTGACAAAATCCCAGCTACAAAACAATTAAAATTGTAGTATTTTGAGTAAGTATACAAAATGGCGGATGTCTTACTTAAGGTAACATCCCTCTTCGGGTGCGTTGAAGTCTAGAACAATCTTTCCACCACTTTTTACGCTTGTATCGGTGTAGTCACGTTTTTTGTCTTGTTCGAAGTTCTTTTTGTAGAAACTCTTGGGTACTGTACCGCCGTAATTAATCTTAAAATATATTAGTTTAGTTTATGTTGATTAGGTGGCGGTAGTAGTTGTTTTGGGTTTTAACCGTTTTAACTAACCTTAGAGGGACATTTTGGATCACCATCAGGATCTACCATTGTTCCGCCATAGTGCACCGGAAGTTGATCATCTGGAATACACTCTTTCATTGCTTTCTGGTATTTTCTCGGGTCTGATTTGAAAACGCTGATCTTGCTGATTGTGTATTCGTCCAAAAAGGGTTTAATCACGTTGAATGCAAAGGCAAATACTCTTGGTGCTAATAATACAAAATTTACCATATAAAATGTCACTAGTTTTGAGGAGAAACCATTTTGATTAGTAATTTGTAGTAAAACTTACCGTTTATTACGAAGCAAGCTTTCAATGACTCTGGATAATTGGCTTCGTACATTTGTATCATGGAAATGACAAGTTGTGTAGCTAAAAATCAGTTATTACGAATTAATTTTTATTAAATTGAGTTTGTTTGGTGCGTTTTTACCTGGTCGCCATGCGTATGGTCGTAGTTGGAAGCCTTCCATATCAAAAATGACAACAATTTCGTGTTGTCCACGTTTTGCGGCTTTTTCCAGGGTGGTTTCCAAGACATTAATGGCGAACCTGATGAAGTCATGACGGCTCACTGAATGTAGAATACCAACAATATCCACGCCTTTAATTGGGATAATTGCAACTAAAAAACAAAAAAAAATTGTGCTCTAATTGACTAATTATACATAACCAAAAATAACGGCCACACAAGTTACATGATAGACTATGTATACCGAGTAGGCAACCCACAATACTAAATAGAAGTTGAAATTGACGGTTTTTAGATATTTTCTTATTTTTTACTTACTTGGACACCCTTCTGGATCAGTTCCAATCACTCCGTACGCAATATATTTGTCCATGACTTCTCCTGGTTGCCATGTACGTAGATATCCGTCAACTCCCCATTGTTGTCTCCAATTCATCGACTAAAATCATAATAAACACTAATTAACAAACTTGAATACAAAACAAACGCATATTATTCTTAAATAACCAATTAAAACTTTAAACAAATATTTAATAGCATAACCATACCTCTCTAAACATTTTTTCGGCATTCTCGACATTCCAACTCCTCGCTTGAAAAAAGAAACCAATAATAATTACAATATGCTCAATGTAATATTCATATAATTATGAAAAGGAAATGAATGCAGTACGAATCGAGTGTACGTAGAGTGTAATGTCAGTGGTTGAGCACGTATCACACAAGTTTCAAATGTGTGATCCACAAAAAAAGGAAGGCAAGAAAGAAAGAGTTTTAATGGCACTTGCTTTCTAATTGAGCGATTGCACAATGATATTTTTTTGTATGCGCTAGCGTGACGCGGACGCGAAATATATAATAAATAAGTAACGAGTAAGTAATAACTAATAAAAGTCCAATTACCGCGCAGCCAACGCAAAAGGAACGCATCGTCGTGGTGCGGCTTCAGGATATCGTGAAGATTACGCCGGAACTGCAAAAAACAAATTGTTATTACTAACTAAGCATATATAGGCAACCAAATATACAAAACATTTATAACTTCTTGTTCAAGGCTTAGTATGTGTCGATTTTATCAGTAATATATGCAATTTTAGTTGCATTACATTTTTATACATATGTAGATGACATATGCAACCTAATAAACATGGTTTTTACTTCTTTAAATTAGTTTTTGTTTTAATTTGTTTAATTTGTCATTATTGACATATCAAACAATATTCTACACTGACTTAACAAATATATACAATTTTATAATCATACGCATTTATAAATCTTTTTTAAAGTATAAAATTCAGTTGGGATCAAAACCAAAATGTCGGAAACATTTCAACGTGAGTTAAGCGCAACACAAAAACCCCTCGGACCGCAAGAAGTGATCGTTGAAGAAATATCAGACAATGAAGACTCAAGCCAAGGCTCTTCATCATCAGAAGAAGAAAAAATTCCTCTCATCCGAGCGGATTTACCACCAGAATACTGGCATATTCAAAAATTGGTTAAATACATGAAAGCAGGCAACCAAACAGCCACAGTCATCTCATTATGCTGCTTAAAAGATCATAACCTTTGCGATCTTATCAATCAAAGCGCTATTCAGGTAAAAACTTCATCATAACCTAAAAATATAACCTTAAAACTACTTATTTATTATTTCAAGGATGTGGGTGGCCTAGAAATACTAGTAAATCTTCTTGATACAGAAGACATTCAATGCAAACTAGGCGCACTGAATGTCCTAAAAGAATTATCACAGAATCTAGAAATTAAACGATGCATTACTGATTTGGGCGGAGTTAAGCTACTGCTTAACAATTTGATTATCCCAGCAAAAGATTTGCAGATGTTGGTTGGTGAAACTTTGTTTAATTTAGCGCAGATAAGAAAAGCGCGGAAACACGTTCGAAAATACGAAGGTATTCCGATGTTGGCTGATTTGTTAGACGTGAGCGAAAGTGTATTGATGACGCCTTTTGATGAATTAACTCGCGAAGCGCAGGATGCTTTGGGTGTGGTTAGGGCAGCTGCGCGTGCGCTTTGGTCCACTGCGCAAAGCGATAAGAATATTCTTGTCATGATGAAAGCAGGTATTATTGCTTTAATCTCCAAATTATTATGGTAAGTTTATACTTATTTTGTTTAACATTAAAAAATGAATAAATTTTTTAAGTTGTGTTCATATGGACGTAATAATACCCTCAGTGGGTATAATAGCGCGTTGTGCGCATGATCCAAGCTATCAACTAGCGATACAAACCGAAGGAATGATAAAAGACATTGTTAAACACTTGAGTAATCAAGATGAGCCTCAATTAAGGCGGTATTGCGCTGAGATTATCTTCAAATGTTCAGAAGATGCTATTACAAGAGATATGGTGCGTCAAGCGGGTGGTTTAGATCCATTGGTAGCCATGGCAAACGACGCCACCTGTCGGGAGGATAAGAATCTACTAGCGGCTGTTACAGGCGCCATCTGGAAGTCCGCCATTAGTCCGGAGAATGTCGATCGGTTTAATCAACTTAAAACCGTTGAAGTAACACATTATTTTCTTTTATTTTAATTTTTTTGATTTAAAAATTATTTTGTATAGATTTTAGTTCAATTGTTAGAAAACGTTGATGAGCGTGAAGAAGTTTTATCAAATTCAGTCGGTGCATTGTCTGAATTAATGCGTCACGAAGAGAACCGTTCGGTTTTGTTACGCTGCGGCGGAATCCCTCTGTTGGTGAATTTACTAAACTATACATATCCGCCATTATTAGAAAACGTGTCAATGGTGCTTCGAGAATCAGCAAACGATGAAGATTCCATGCGTATCATCGAAGAATTAGATGGAGTACGCTTAATTTGGTCATTATTAAAAAATCCACATCCAATTGTAAGTAAAAATCCCCAAAAAACCTCAAAACAAAAAACTAACCTATAATTTTTTAAGGTACAAGCAAACGCATGTTGGTCTTTGGTACCGTGCATAAAATACGCTCTAGATTCCGGTGAAATGGTGCGTAGTTTTGTCGGTGGCTTGGAATTGATTGTAAATCTACTAAAAAGTACAAATACAACGGTTCTGGCATGTTGCTGTGCTGCATTAGCAGAGGTAGCTCAAGACAGAGAGAATCTAGGCGTAATTACTGACCATGGCGTTGTTAAATTATTAGTTAACCTTGTCACAACCGATGATAAGTTGCTCCGTGAACATTTGGCACGTGCTATTGCGTATTGTTGTTCATGGGGATCGAATTGTAAAATGTTTGGCAGGTAACCAAACATACAAATTGACACACATAGATGGCGTTACTTTAATACTAAATTATTTTACAGATTAGGTGCCATAACCCACCTTGTAGGCTACATGGCATCTAATGATGTCAACACACATCGCAACACCGCAGTTGCTTTGTATTACCTATCAAAGAATTCGTTTAATTGTATCACGATGCATGAATGCGGAGTGGTGCCATTTTTACTACGATCGGTTGCGTCTGAAGACCGTGAGTTACAGGAAGCATGCGCTGGATGCCTGGCTAATATTAGAAGATTAGCTTTGGAGGCTGAAACTTATCATTTGATCACGCGTGGTCAACCTCCGGAGAGTACTACCACTGAAGAAGGAGAACAACTTTTACCAGCGAAAGAAATTTAATTATCGATGTGCAGTTTAAAGATTAATGAGATTTGTTTAATAGAAATGACCTTGAGTGTCATTGTGGCTTTGTTTGATTAATATTGACATTTGATGATGAAGTGGTTATTGAAAAAGAAACCACACGCACTTGAATGTTTTGGAGAGTTTTGTAGATAAATGAGTCATGAGTATTAGATGCAATTAATGATGGTGCTAAGGCTAACATTATCCATTTGCTTATGTCTACAGAATTATACGTATGAGATTGGCGTCGGGGATTATTGGCGATTCACGAGGACATGAGTTAATGAGGTTGTATTTACGAGTAAGAGGTGAATATCAGGACAAACCAGTTGGTAAAAAGTGAGTTTATGAGTGCTTTGTTTTTATTATTCAATTTATTTTGCATGTTTTGATTATTTGAGTAGATTTCAATGAAACTATTGAATTTTAATTGAAAAAAAATGAGAAATGCTAATAATAGACTTTGGCGCCATCTGGGTGTGAATTATGTAACAAAAACTGTGATTAAATCTCTATATTAACTTTCATCTCATATTTCACACCCTGTATGTTATATTTTCAGTACAAAAAGTTGCCTATTTGCTTCTCCAATGGCTAAACTAGCTTAAAACCAAAATTTGTCAAAATGCGTTCAGTAGTTTATGCGTGAAAGCGTCACAAACATACAAAGAAACTTACATTCGCATTTTTAATATTACTTAGGATATATTAGCATTATCTAATTGTTTTCTTGTGATTTGTAGGTTAAATAGATTCTTTGTAGGTTATGTTTTCTTTCTACTCAACAAAACGAATACAATTATAAAATTAGTACAATAATATTAGTACAAAATTATTAATAATCACATATTGATAATTATTGTAATTTTTATCATAATTCCAATGTTTTACACCGTGTAAACGTCAAAAATGAAGCAAAAGATGTTTGTTTTATTGAAACACCATAACGAAATGCTCGAAGCCACTCATTTCGATTTAGATAATGATTTATAACCATGTTAATCCGTGCTGTTTAAGATTGTTGTTCTTGCGTAATGCAATCGAATGCCCGAATGAACATTAAGCATCATTGACCCACCGAAATTGATTCGTAAATTTATATTATGATGAATGTGTGTCGCCGGCCAGCGTGACACCTGATTATGTTCCATTCTACACAGTGCCACTTTTACATTTACGAGAGAGAATAAAGAAGCTGAAAGACGCATCTGTTGAATGCGAATATTCATGTTTAATATATGTTTACCTTGTACCTTACCTACTCTATTGAAATACTCTGACATCAACATTAAATAATAACACTTTATCATAATGATAAATGTTATTATTGATGATGTATGTCCATGAAATCAGGCATTGAGCAAAATGTACAAATCTATTAATGATTTTAATAATTTATCAAAGAGATAATGGAATTTGGATAAGTTGATGATTAATGTTTTTAGTGAAGAATAGATTCGATAAATTTTAATTGTAAGTTGAAAGTGAAAAAGTGACGGATTGTTATTAACAAATGGTGTCAATTATTAATTCAATACTTAAAATTATTAAAAGTGTAAGTTTTATGGTTCAAGAGTATGGGTCTTGAGGTTAATGTGCATTTTATGTCTTTGGACATTCAGCAAGAATTTTAAACAAGTTGATAGTATGTGGTAATCAACAAATTAACTAAAAGTAGGTAATTTAGGTAAAAAAATGTTTAGTATTTGTTTAATATGCTTTAAAGAATTTTTAAATAATTAATTTTATGGTTGTTCTTATGACACAGAAGTTTTTAGTATTCATTACGTTGCTGGTTGGAATCATTGTATAAAAGTTGTTTTTCAACTTCGATCTATAAAACGCCAGTTTTTCCACGATTTATAGACTCAAAAGTGGTATTTTAAACACGGACGTGGCTAAAGCTGTAACTAAAGTTCTTTAGTTACGGGTTTTAGTCACGGGGTGGAAATTGCTGCTCAGTGATGTGCGAGCAAATTTCTATGACTTAAAATGCAAAAGTTATAATACAAAATCCTAAACGTAGTAATATCCAATTCAGTGGCCCAATCATTTGTCCAAATCATTTAAAATTTATGTAAAGATCAACCCACGCATTATATTCTCCGAATACATTATTCGAATATAAAGTGAATTGTCGAAGCACAAAACCCAACCACAAACGGCGATATATTGTTGACTAATTGAGTGTGGACATGACATATTATAAGTTATCATTTAATCTTCTGTTCACTGTTCGCTGCGTGTTCTTTTTGTAGTCTTGCCGAATCGTGATTTATTAATATGAAGTTTTATGTAATATACGTATTGTTTTACACGTAATAAAAGTGAATTATTGCTTTCCAAATTATTATCGTACATTTCCTGCTTTCCATTTTATTGTTTTATTGTAAACTATGAATCAGTCAAGAATATCGTTAACAATGACATTTGCTATTGCGTTAAAATTGATTTTTAAAAACAACACAGTCATTATAAACTGTAGTTAATACTTTTCTAACATTTATAATGAATTTTACTTGTTTAATATGGATGTATATGATCTCTGTCATAAATCGTGCCTCTAGCGGTCATTTTTATAACCTTACTAGCTTTAACCCTTGGCTTCGCTCGCGAATATCTAAAATAATGAAGTTGCTTCCGTACGCGTCTGTAGTCACAGAAGAAGTAACAATGAAGTAGAATGGCGGGAAGTTTAAAATGGCTGAAAGTATAGTCTATGGAAGTATAGTGTACAGTCTCCATAGTGTAGGCAATTGGATTTGATGTTGACGTAGCTGTCGGTAATACAGTGTGATAATACAGTGTGATGGTACTATAGTACTTAGATTTAAGCTTCATTGCTGGAATGCTAGATGGCATTAAAGTAGTCAAAAAGCCAGATGCAGAGGTATTATTGGCTAAACTATTTCTTTATTTTATTTAAAAAGTAATTTTTTTTATTTAAAAAAAAGGTAGCCTATAACCATTCGGGGTAAGTAGTTTTTGCGTGAAAGTGTAACAAACATCAGGACTTTAGCATTTATAATATTAGTAGCGAATAAATCTCAATATTAATATGCTTCGTTTAGATCAATAATGTTACATATAATGTTATTAATGTTATTAATCAAATTCAGGAATGCTTAAAACACATTTTTCTTCTTATATTACAACATAATACGCATTTCCAAAACTATAATTTATATGCATGATGTGTATACTTGGTAGCCGATATAACGATGTCCAAAATCAACAAACCTAACCTAAAATAAATGTCTAAAACGTATCATACACCAAAATGAAACCTAACAAAATTAATAACTGTGTGTGATAGGCGGGCAGAGGTAAGTATTGATATTAAATTACGTGGCCGCAAGCAAAGCAATAAATAACGCTACAACATATCTCGTAATAATCATTCATTACCGCGCCGAAAATTGAAAAACATTTTTATTAATTTACGGTCTAGGTCCAGCCAGGATGGATTGGATTAAAAATCTTGCGATTGCTTTAATTAAGACTCCATTCAATGCGAATGCTAAATGTTGCAATCGAAATGCGTAAATGAAATGAAAAAGAAATCTCAACGCAATTAATTAAACATCTACGTAAATTAACTTTATAAATAAGACGTCAAATATATTCAATTATCACTATCAGTGTTTCAAATCAATTAATCTTTAATTCAATCTTTTGTTATAGGTTACCATCGTTTATATATGATCTGTGTGAATGTCTGAATGCAAAGTTTATAATTCTAGACTTTTACTTCTTCTTGATTGATCTTATTCTTCACTGAATTCGGCTGTTGTGTTGTGGGCATGTGCGTAATTCGTAAAGTGAAATTAAGTCAAGGTTTCCGAACACTTTTTCTCACCTACATTTGCATTAATTTCATTCATCACCTCACATTTCACGTTTCGCATAAACACAGAGGTAATTTATTCACATGGCACAAATTTCTGAGTGTTTTTATTGAAATATTTTTCGCTAATGGTGTAAAATTGATCTATATTACTCTATGCGTGTATATTTGGTTGCCTATACTTATCATACCATTGACATAAATTGTTTGCTATTATTATGATCATAATTATGTGTGTACAACATTTTCAAGTTTCTGTTTTCATGAGGAGTGAATAGTTGTAGCCATATTAGCTTGTAGGTCAAATGCGAGTCGCTTGTGCAATATGACAACATTGGTTGTGTGTCGGCAAGTAGGATTAGTCGCATTAACAAGTGCAAATGCATTTTATTCGTGCGTGCGCGTGTCGAACCGCTGCAACCTCAAAGAAGCACGATAAATGCAGAGATATGTTTATCTAGACAACACAACAGGCGCAGTGGAGATAATATTGGGCAACTGTGTGGAATTTTTGCACAATCCACGCACGCGGTCGCCTTCGCCGTGCCTTCGTCGTGAATGTTAACAGCTATAAACTTTTGCGCATAGTATTGCATTTATAAGTATTTAAAATAATAATTAAAATGTGCAGCTGATGTATTTCTATGTGAGACTTATCACAAAATATGGAAAATAGTAGCGGTTGATTTAATTTTATATTTGAGTACTTAATTAAGGTTAAAAAAGGAAAACAAAAATATTTTGTTAGTTACAGCATGTATAACTCAAGAACGGATGAACAGATTTTGATGATTTATGATTTGATGGGTTTGTCTCCGTCTCAAGGGTGTTATGTAAGGGATGAAAGTTGGTATAGAAATTCAATCAATGCTATAGCTAAATAATTGTATCAGAGATGGCGTTAATTTTATAAATGTTGCTTAAAAACGATTTTTGTAAAAGCAGCGTTGTAAAATTGGAATTTACTCGAGTATAGGCAACTTTGACAGCATTACTGCATTGCAATTGTAATACCACTGACAATCACTTTTTCCACAAGTGAATAATATTTATTTTTGTTTGTTTTCTTCAAAAAATAGTAATTAAATCCTACTTCAATAGAAAATTGTTTGATATTTATTTACTTTAGTGAATTTATGAGAAAAATTAATTATACAATTACTATTCACATAGATATTGCACACATTTGAAATTATTACCGACTACAC